GAGTCAATAAATATGTAAATGAAACATGTTGTGGTCAGTGTTTTTTCAACATCACCAGTTCAGGGCAAAAGCTGTATGGGAAAATGGGTAGGTGTAGGCTCAATGGACAAGTAGGTCAATGGGTGAATAGAAATGAAAAAAATAATAACTGACGTGGAAAAGTGTTACTCATGGTGATTCCAGACTTTGCATGTGCAGTGCTTACTGTAATATGGATCTAGATTGCTTCTGTTGCTGTGATAAGCACCAGGACCAAAAGCAACTTGGAGGAAGGGGGTATTATTTGGTCACAGTTCCAGATCACAAAATCTATCTTTGAGGGAAATCAGGGCAGAGGCCCATACAGAAACTGACTTAGAAACTATGGAGGAATGCTGTTTACCAGGCTCATAAAATACTATCTCTCTTTTAAAATATTTTATTTACTATTTTTCTGTTATTTTATGTGTATAAGTGTATTGCCTGCATGTATGTAAGGGCACCCATGTCGTGCAATGGCTGCAGAGGTCAGAAGAGGGTATCTTATCTCCTGGAAATGGAGTTACAGAAGGTTTTATCTTCAAATATGTTTATTAATATGCCACCACGTGGGTGCAGGGAACAAAATCCAGGTCCTCTGTAGGAGCAGCCAGTGCTATTAACTGCTGAGCCATCTATCTCTCCAGTGCTCACCCCAAAAGCTGTCTTTCTTATATTACCCAGGGGCACCTCCATAGTCATGGAAATAGCCACAGCAGGTTGGGTCATCTAACATCAATTAACAATCAAGAAAATGCTCCACAGACAAACTGACTGGTCAATCTGATGGAGACAGTTCTTCATTTGTGGCTTCCTCTGCCTGAGTGTGTTAAACTGACAAGCAAATTAGCCAGTGCAACTTTCTGAAGGTTTGTGTTGATTCAAAATAAAAATTGAGAGGTTAAATGTGAACACTTAAAATACATAACAAAATAATTTCCTCTGAAGTAGTTTGAAAGTATTAGTATTAAGTAATAAGTAAT